AAATGGTATCATGAGATGTCGTGATAGAGTTTGTGTTCTAGATATTATTTAGTGGAATAAGAGTATTGAGGTAGAGGGAGTATCCATCCCGGTGCTATGAAGATGTAACCGGATTTGAGGAAATTATTTTGATGACCATAGATGAAGAGAGAAGTGGTTGAGTTTGTATATGCTGGTTAGACTGGTCGGAAGTCGAAGATTGAACATCAGAGACCATTGGGTCTGATGCAACCGTGGAATATTCCAGAGTGAGAATCGGATAGTATTTCCATGGATTTTGTGTTGGGTTTTCCAAAGAATTGGAGGGATATGATTTTAATTGGGTGATTTTGGATATATTGATTAGATTGACTCTTTTCTTATCAATAAGGATTAATCATTCTACGTTGAAGCTAGCTGAGATGTATATCGATGAAGTTGTGAAGTTGTATGAGACGTCGTCGAATATGGTGTCAGATGGGAAATTGAGTTTTCATCGAGATTTTAGGAGAGTTTGCAGACGCTTTGAGTACCATGTTGAAGTTGAACTATGCCTATCATCCATGGACGGATGGACGGACAGAGAGAACTATCCAGTCTTTAGAGGATTTGTGGAGAGCTTGTGTGTTGGATCAAGGTGGATCGTGGGATAGTTAATTATCATTGATTGAGTTACCTACAATAACAGTTAGCATTCTAGCACCGGAATGGCACCGTATGAGGATTTGTATGGTAGGAGGTGTATGACTCCTTGGTGTTGATATGATTCGGGAGAGAGTGTTGTGCTCGGACCTGAGAATTGGGTAATAGACGACTGAAAAGATCAAGAAGATCTAAGAAAAGACGTGTTTTGAGAGTTACGATGGTGATTGGTATTGGTCGAGCTTTGAAGTCTCGAAAGCATACATTGTGTTTTGTTGATTTGTATCGGAAGTGACACAGCGGAAGCATGGGAGAGGTAGCATGTTAGACTGTTTTATCGCTGTCGCTTGTGAATTTACATGATGTGGCATGTGCCTAAGTTGAAGAAGTACATTGATTCAGATGGATGATGTACAAGTGAGAGGTAATTTGACTGTCGAGGCGTTGCTAGTTCAGGTTGATGAACGAGAAGCAACTTCGAGGTAAAGATATTCCTTTGGTGAAGGTAGTTTGGGCGGACCAGCTGGAGAAACTTGGAATTGGGAACTTGGAGGTCAGTTGAGGGAGTCGTATCTGACTCTGTTTCTTGAGGTAATTTTCGAGGGCGAAAATTCTTTTAAGTGGGGGAGAGTTGTAACACCCCGAATTTAATCAGAATATTTTAATTAATTTATTTAATTGGGAATATTCTTATTTTTGGTATTTCGGGTGTTTTCGGTGGTTTTGAGAATTATTGAGGAATTATGCATATTGGAGTATTTATTTTGGAATAATAGTATGTAATATGGATTTATTAATATTATTATGAATTAAAATAAATATAAGAGAAATAAGGGTAAATTGGACATTATGAAGAGTTAGTAAGGGTATTATGGGAAAAGCCCAATTGTGTGGTCCAAATCTAAGTTTGACAAAATAGAATTCTGAAGGTGGAGGATTCATTTTGGTTAACCGTGGAAAGAATGAGGCCAGAGCTCTGAGGAGGGAGAAGTAGAGGCAAAAGCTTCGGAAGATCCCGAAGTTAATCGTGAAATCTGCGAATCGGCTAAGGTATGGGGAGTATAGCCTTTCATAATTTTCCATGTGGGACTTTCAGTGTATTTAAAGTTGATTTAAGGGTTTAAGGGTTTAAGAGTTTTGAGGCGAATAATGAGAAAAAGGGATTTTTGGCCTTCGTGGCCTAAATTGATTATTGAGAATTTTAACCATAGGGATTTATTTGGGAAAAAGGGAAACTAGGCCTTCATGACCAAAAACTATGATTTGACTCTAACGCTGTAGGGAAATTTGATAGTGAGAACCCTGATGGTTGTGGTGTAGTGGTAAGTATTCCTGACTGTTAAAGTATAGATATGAGAAATAGTGATCTTTGGCCTTCGTGGCCTAAACCTATTAGTGTGAATCTAACCTGGAATCCGTTGGGGAAAAGGGAAAGGTAGGCCTTATGGACAAAACCTTGAATTTTTATATGTCTAACCCTGAAGGGATATGAATATTTGATAGTGAGTAACTCTGATGCCTTAGGGTGTAATTGAAAGAAAAATTGTGATTTAGGGCGTGAATATGTTACGGGATTGGCCTAGTAAACCGTAGGTTTTGTGTCTTTACCACCGTAAGACCTTAGGGATGATTTAGAGATGTTTTGGGGGCATTGGGGAAGTGAATCGTATGGACTTTTGGGTTGATTTAGGTTCCAGAGCGTAATAGCATTTTGATGTCCGTCACGACTGTTCATGTTTTCGGTCGAAATCGTTTTGGACGTAACTTTTGATCCGTAAGTCCGTTTTGACCCCGTTCGAAGCGTTAGAAAGCTAATGAACAGGGCCATAACATAGTATAGATAAGGGAATTGGTTTCCCAATATTTTTATATCTAATTATGTTTGAGAAGTCAATTGTGTATATATCCTATTAATGAATCGTGTTTCGGTTCAGTGATGCCTTGATGTTTTGATGCTGCGATTTTCCTGATGAATTACCATGAGGGTAACTGTAATAATATGATGAATTAATATGAGTATGACAGTGAGGTTGCGTGAATAATAAGTGCTAGTATGAGAATTACCGCGAGTGTGATTATGATGAATTAATATGAGGCAAAGTGAGATGGTATCAGGGATTAATATGTGAATACTATGTGATGATATGACAAATTAACATGAGTAGAACTGTGAAGATTATGTGATTGATAGGCGATAGTGTGAGGATTACCGTGAGTATAATTTGATAAATTAATATGAGATGATATGTAGGTAGTATTATGAATTGATATGGGATAATATGGGATAATATGATTATGAACTAATATGTGATTTATACGTGATTATATGATGACATGATGTGTGAGATTAATTGATATGATGAGTAATATGATGAATTATGATGATATGCAGTATGATGATTAAGATGATGAATTATGATGATATGTTATATGATGAGTAATATGATGAATTATGATGATATGTTGTATGATGAGTAATATGATGAATTATGATGATATGTTGTATGATGATTAATATGATGAATTATGACGTTTGATGGTGATGAATATGATGAATGATGATGCACCTATGATGTTATTGTGAGGATTATTATTGTGTTGTGTGCATCATGCATTCATGTGCATCCGAACTTCGGTTCAGGACCTCGATTACTTTGACTTTAATCCCACTGTGTGGATGTGAAGTATTTTGATGTGCTCCGATCCTATTGATGGGGATCTATGGAGGGTTGATGGCCTAGTGTCCATCGCGCTGTGATGATTGGTACCACATGCATTGAGTTGTGTCGCATTGCATCTATGAGTCTTTTTGTATGAACTATGACGTTATGGCCTTTGAGGTATATTTGAAGGATATCAATGTGTTGCATGTAATTATGAGTAATATGCCGTTTATGCATTAATTGTTATACATTGATTATTATGAATTGTCTTACTCACCCTGTCTGTTTGAATGTTACCTCCATGTGGGTAACGTGCAGATGAGCAAGTTTAGTCGTGGACGCCGTCGAGGAGTATTTCGAAGTTTTAGAGTCGTTAGCCTTTATGGTTAATTTAGAGGGTCTTGTTATGATATGTAACACCGGGTTGAGTTCTTTGAGTTGATTGTATATCATTGGGTTATTCTACTGATGTTCCCTTATTAGGAAAACATTGAGTTATGTTTTGAGTTCCGATGTATATGATGTATTTTGAGAAAACCCGTGTGTTACGGAGTATTGACCAATTTTGTTGACTTTGAGAAATGTACGCCCTTTTGTGACTTTTTAATGAAAGTAATATTTTACTCTAAAATCCGTGTTATTTTGCCGTAATATCTGTGGGGTAGAATAAGGGTGTTACAAGCAACAACAACAATAACATAAGTAATGATGTTTGATGTACCAGATTTGTGAAGAAGAAGTGAAATAAATGATTATAGTCTTTCATTCTTACATGTATCAATCAAGAGCCCTAAACACATATCATTTTTATTTTGAGAATGATATGTGTTTAAGACTCTTGTTATTTAGGGCTCTTGTTATTTAAAACTCTTCGTTACAATTATGAATTTGTTGTTTTAGTGAATTATTTTTAGACCCAATCAAGATAAAGGATATTAACCTTCCCATACAAGAAATACTGAGTACTGGAATGAGCAAATGGTGAGAACTCTCAAATGTTATCCAAAATCTAATAGCATTTGAATAGTTGGATTTAAGATAAAATGATAAATAAAAATGATGTACATTATATCAAATCATGAACATAATTTTTTTTCAAAGGTTGTCTTAAATACTATGCACATAAAATATTAATAAATTATATATATATATATATATATATATATATATATATATATATATATATATATATATATATATATATATATATATATATATATATATATATATATATATATATAGTTTGATTATACTATAATTAACTTAATTAATATTAAATAATGAAAAAATATTTTTAATTTTTTAAATAAAAATAAAGGAAAATATAATTGTTTCAAAGAGGATATAAGAGTAAAGAATCTGGCAATTGAGGATTTATATATATTTAAAATAACTGTTACTATTATAAAAAAAAAAATTACTGCTACTAGCGACTATGCAGTACAAGTACGACAGAGATCAAGATCGGCGATGTTCCATATTATATGTACTACCAACTAGTTTGTTTTATCAGCGAAATTCCGTAAATAACCTTCAAAAAATATCCGCAACGAGGGCATTTTAGGAATAACAACAGCGTACCCTAAAAGCAACGCAACAAAAAATACAACAACGAAGAATCAATAGAAGGAAAGAAAGATAACAGAAAAAAAAAGTTGATTTTTTTGGTGGTTCAACAAACCCTCGAAGTTCAAAAAAAAAAAAAACTCAGCGAAGATGATGCACATGACCTTCTATTGGAGCAAAAAAGTGACTCTCCTCTTCGATTCATGGAAAACCGATTCATGGACGAGTTACACACTGAGTCTACTCGCTTGTCTCATCGTCTCCATTTTCTACCAGTTGCTCGAGAATCGCCGTATTCGCCTCAAGCTTTTGGCCTCCGGAAAGCCGTTTCCGGCGCAGATCGAGGCGCCTCTTCTTCGACGGACATTCGCCGGAAGTGGAGCTAAATTAGGCGTGAGAGTCGCCGGGGCGGTTCTGTTCGGGTTAAGCTCGGCGATCGGGTATTTCTTGATGTTGTCTGTTATGTCGTATAACGGTGGCGTGTTTATAGCTATTGTTGTTGGTCTTGCGGTTGGTTATTTGTTGTTCAGGAGCGACGGCGAAGATTCCGTCGTCGTTGATAGTTCTTGCGCATGTGCTTAATTTCAGTTTCTTGTTATGATTATTGCTAATCGGTTAGGTTTTACTGTTATTGCTATTTTTCTATTGTTTAAGTTAGATCTGTTGCAAATGAGAATTTGAGACAGGGTGTTTATGCTATGTTGTGTAAGTTTATGCAGTTATTGTAATTAACTAATTATTATCAATAAATTATTGTTAAGATAGCGTGAGATTTATCAATGATTCATCATGTGTATGAGAGTTGAGAAATGAAAGGAAAAAAAGCAATTGTCATCCCTTTTCAAGGGATATGATAAGAGTGTTCTGATGGAAGTTGTGCTAGCTTGTTTATGGCCTTGAATTGGAGAACAAAGTGGGATGGTTGCTTAGTACAAAGGGAGCACTTGGATGACTATGTGATCCTTACACATTTGGCAGCAAACATAAGATCAAGAGTAGGATTATGAGATGAACATTGGTATGTAGCAGAGAGCCATGAGTAGATAGAGGCAAATGCGGCAAATTAAATGGGCACAACTAGATAATGACTAGATTAGACATAATACAGATGGAGCTGTGAGAAGGAGAAACATAGTGTGGTGGATTATTAGAGACATCAATGGAGCTTGAAGAGGTGGGTTTTCAAAAACACAAAAGTATTCGCAAAGTAGGGGTTGCAGAGCTTGAGTCTTTGAAGGTTTGAAGTAGAAGGACATAGGACTTTGAAGGCTTGAAGTAGGTGTTTGCCAAAGGACATAGAAAAGTGGAGAGGAGTCTTTGAAGGCTGAAGGCTTAAGTGTTTGCCAAAGGACATAAGTATTGCCAGCATTGAAACTCTCACTAGTCACTACTTCATCAACTAAAATGGGAACTAGTTGGGAACTGTTCCAAAAAAATTAAGTCTTTGCTTGATCATGACTGTGAAGTTCGCATTGATCATATTTATAGAGAATCAAATAAGTGTGCAAAATATATTGGCAAAATTGAGATTGAAGAGAATTAGAACTTGAATCATATGATATTTGTCCTACATAATTGAGTTCAATTTTCTCGTAGGTTTTAGAGGAGTTCCTAATCCCCATTTTATTAATTATTAGTTAGTTTTTTATTTTTTGGACTTATGCCCTCTTGTATTAAAAAACAAAAAACTATTTAAAGTATAAAAATAATAATACATTATAGTGATTCATTAGGATGCATATTAGACAAAAATTATTATCTATTTCAAAATTGGCTGTACACATATTAAGATATCCAATAAAATTGTCAAAAGCAAAACATTTTTATTAAACTACTTTTATTAATTATTGGTGTATTTTTACTATAACAAACTTAAATAACAAAATTGAAAGTATCATGTATTGAAAGGAAAATAAAATGAACTAACTATTGAACCTTGAAAATCTATGAACCTTTAATTGTATAGAGTATCATCATCCATCTTTTGTTACACAAATTTTGGATATACTCACCTAAATCATGCACCTAGTAATTACTTACATTCAGCTTCATGATTAAAACGAGTCAACTCTTATACTCTTACCATAGGCAGAACATAGTTTTTATGTGCCTAGGACCAAACCCGACACCACTTGTCATTATCTTAATGACCACTTTCACTAACAGCCACATACACAAATGGTCCTATGATCACATCATCAAAGTTTTGAAGTGATTCCAATATCTTTACCACGTCACTCATATTAGGCCTTGGGGTAGGGTTGTGACTTAAGCATTTATATGTCAATGCAGCAATCTTCAAAGCTCCTTTAATAGAAAACTGTCCCTCTAATCTTGAGTCTATGATATTAAGAACCTTTCTTTGATCTCTCAAAATAGGTCTTGCCCATTCCACAAGGTGCCTCTCTTTATTTGGTCTGTTTTTGTCTACTACTCTCTTTCCTGTAAGCAGTTCCAGCAACACTACTCCATAGCTATACACATCACTCTTGGTAGAAAGGTGACCTGAAAATCCCAACAACACATTACTCTTGTTTCATCTATTGTCATAGAAATAACTTAGACCTAAACACGTATAAGATAAGTAATTATACTATAAACACTTAATTAAATTGTTTTTTCGAACATGGTAGATACCTGACATGATATACTCAGGAGCAGCATAGCCTTTTGTTCCCATTATGCAAGTTGTTGTCACATGTGTTTCTTCTCCTTCAGGACCATCTTTAGCTAATCCAAGATCCGATAGTTTAGCAGTATAATCCTGGATTTAAAGAGAGTAAAAAAAAACTTACATGATATTGTTTAGCATAAGATGCAACATTATGACCGAGCAAAAGAGAATGAACCTACCGAATCCAGTAATATATTTGAAGTTTTGAAATCTCTATATATCACGGGTTTATCCACTTCATGAAGAAAAGCTAGTCCCTTAGCCGCACCTAACGCAATTTTCATTCTTGTCGACCATGGTAAGGTAGCAGAATATCCTGCATATATCGCAAACAAAAAAAATCAAAAATCAAACCTTAAAGGTTCGTTAATATAGTATCGTTAAAAGTAAAAAAAATGTAACATACTTCTGAATAATTGATTCTCCAAACTTCCTCTCGCCATATATTCATACACCAAAAGCCTCTGCTCTTCCTCGCAACAATATCCAATTAGCTTCACAAGATGTGGATGTCTTAGCTGTCCAAGAAATATAATCTCCGCCTATAAAATGAAAAAAACATGTTCTTATTCTTAATCATGTTTCATTATCTATAACTTATATTTCATTCATATCTCTTGTATTTTACTAACCAGCCATTCTCTGTGACCTTGTGATCCATCCAAGTTCAATCTTTTGACAGCAACAGGTTGAGCCTTCAAACCATGTCTGAGTTTATCATCAACAAAACCCTTATAAACCGGTCCAAAACCACCTTCACCTAACAAATTACTCCATGAGAAACTATGAGTTGCTTCTCTTAACTCCTCAAGATTGAACATGTAAAGCTTTGAACCAGCTAAAGAAACTGAAAGATCCTCAATAGCTTGAATACTAGAGCTAGAAATGCTTACGTCAGACAAAGACAACCTTTGGAATGAACCTTGTTTTTTTGATTCCTCCAAAGAGTATGTTGTCTTGTAACAACCTAAGATCAAAACAATAGACTTCCATGTAATCTTTTTAGATCTCATCTACAAATAATTGGTTTGTATGTTTAATAATGTTTAATAATACTACAAAATAAAAACACCTTAGTGAAATATAAAGCCAACAAAAATACTAGATGACATAATTGATGATCACACTAATTAAAATAATTAGTAAAAGATTAGGAATACATTCTTCTAATCCTAACTACCCTTAGAAAATTACTTATGCAGAGATTCCTTGACTTATGGACCTCTTGAATATATAATAACACTAAGGTCGCATTCTATTTGAAAGAGTTACACTATATACATACATGCATGAATATTGGTATTTATCTAATTTTTTGGTCACATTTTTTTATAGTATAATATTAATAATTATAGTTTTTGTCACATTTTCAATTAATTAGAGGCCAAGTAATCTGCCTAACTATTGACTTCAATGTTAATCTACACATTATTTCCCCAACCCCCTTAGAAACAAATTAACATGTAACTATGTTGCTTAATTACCTGAGTCGTCCACTTAATTTTGTTTAGAGGTTGATGAACATTTTTGGAAATATGGGATTGGAGAATTTGAATTATTTTTGATAAGTGGTAATTACACCAACAACTCCATTGTAGAACTTTTTTTTTTATGTATCCTGTGAGGGTTTTCTTTGGTCATTCAATTGATATTTCTTCGTTATTGGTAAGTCATGCTTTTCTGTATTGCTTTTGTTAACATGTCAATATCAAAGTCTTATTTTCAAAATTAATTAATTATAATGTTTTTTTAAAGAAGGCAAAATAAAAGATAATAATGAAAAAGAGAATTTATTTAAGAAAAATGTTATTTTTACCTCAAATTCATACATTTAACTGTTTGAACAGTGAAATATTATAATAAATATATATATTTTTATAAAAAATATAAAAAGTTATTATTTTAATATTTTATTTTTATTTTTTATTTTTAAATTAAATAATATTAATAAAAAATTGTATAATTAACCAACTTCGTAATTTCATTAACCAACTTTTTACATTTTATTAACCAACTTTATTTGTTGCTAAAAATTATTTTTAATATCTAAACGTTTATTAACCAAATTCATATCTTTATTAACCAGTTTTTTACTTTTTGTTAACCAATTTTAGTTCATTACTAAAAATAATTTTTAATATCTGTCGCGTTTATTAACTAACTTCATCACTTTATTAACTAACTTTTTATATTTCATTAATCAATTTTATTTCACTATTTTAAAGTAACTGTTCATAGTTTCCGTACTGTTCATAATTTTTTTTAATTAAAAAAAACACTGTTTATTGTATAAATACGATATATGTATTTGGTGTAAGAAAAGGGTGTAGGAATATCATTGTTGTTTAAGTACAAGATGTGACTAGAGCATAATTTTTTTTTACCAAAGACAAAACAAAAAGGATACGATAAAAACAATCTTAGCTCTTAGCTCCATAATAGAGTAACCAATGTTAGACGAATGGTTAGTCCACCAAGTACTTATATCAATAAACGTTTCTAGCCTCTTATCTCTTAGCCTTCTGCCACTCTAAGAAAGAACTAAAACCTTGTTCAATAATTAAAGGAGACTTGGTTCTTATTGTTGAAAGTCTAAAAAAAAATTTCTTTTGAAATAACCCAAATCCTTGCCACCAGATAGAAGACTAGAAAACACTTTTGGACCTCTTTGTTGAAAGAATATGATCCACAAAATTGAAGGATATGATGTCTAATAGTATTCAAAAGCATATAAAAAATCTTTAGTTACTTATAAAGACAACTCTGAATCAAATCAAAATACTCACACTCTAAAAAAAAATAAAGGAAGCCCTCCTCCTTACCACATCCACCGGTACATTATATTAATCTTGGTGGAATTATTCCTTATTTATGCTAGGTCACCTTTAGCGAGGTCTCTATTGTTAAT